TAATACACTTATACTTAGTGCATAGTATAGCGTAAGTATATATATTATATATATATAAGCTATATTCGATATAATATTACGTAATACACTTATACTTAGTGCATAGTATAGCGTAAGTATATATATCATATATATATAAGCTATATTCGATATAACATTACCTAATATACTTATACTTAGTGCATAGTATAGCATAAGTATATATATTATATATATAAGCTATATTCGATATAATATTACGTAATATATACTTAGTGCATAGTATAGCGTAAGTATATATATTATATATATAAGCTATATTCGATATAATATTACCTAATACACTTATACTTAGTGCATAGTATAGCGTAAGTATATGTATATATATATATATAGACACACACGCACGCTTCGTAGTACTATTCATCCCTTGTATTACAAAAGTGTTAACGGCTAACATTTATATTATTTATTTAGTAAATACAAAAGTGATTTTTAATTTTGACCAATGGTGACCTAAATAGCGACCAACTTTGGTCGCTAAACGTACATAATTTTAAATTAGCGACCCAAGTTGGACGCTAAATTTAAATCAGATTTATTTATCTTTTAGATAATTTTTAAAATATTAACTGGGTCCCAGTTTGGCGACCAAAGTTGGTCTATATTCTACTTAGCGACCAACATTTGTCGCTAAAGTTGAATTATATTTATTTATATTTTATAATTTTTTTTTAACAAAATTATAATTATTAAAATTTTATAACTGGGTCCCAAATTAGCGACCAAAGTTGGTCTCCATCTGTTTACTCTTTATATATCGACCAAGTTTGTCGCAAATTTTAAATTTTATTTATTTATATTTTATTATTTTTTAAAAATAATATTATAATTATTAAAATTTCATATTATGATTTAAGAGTATCCATTAACTATAGTCTAAAAGATATAGACCATCAATCAGGTGATTCGTTCTAATTCATTGAATTAATCCGTTATAAAAATATCAGAAAAAGAAGGGAACGTTGTTTTTGCAAACATGAATCGAATTTTTTTTCACAATTTTTACGCAAAATTGTATCTTTATCCCGGAGCCTCGAAGGAAAGAAAAATCGTTCTTTGCTTTGACTTTGATGAAAAATTTTCAGTTAAAATGGATTGGTCGTACCTATCCAATAATGGAATATGGATTATGACTGACTCGCTATTCACTCGGTTTTTGGGTCATAATCGTTATGTAGGAGAGATGGCCGAGTGGTTGAAGGCGTAGCATTGGAACTGCTATNGAGTAATTCTTTGACCAAGCAAGTCTGACCAGTCCGCTCAACAGTTTGACAAAATTTTCGACCAAGTGGCGACCAACGTTGGCCGCTAATTTATTTAAAATTATTATTTATTATTTTTACCAGTTTAGCGACCAACTTTGGTCGCTTTCCTTGACAGACCAACGTTGGTCGCTAAACTTTGGTCGCTTTTTGCAGGAATTCTAGTAGTGAAATACGAGAATTCACCGAGTTGATACACACCAAAAAATAATAATCTTGATTGGTGCTGAGCTAACTATAGCGCAAAGCCGAATTTCTTTGGTTAATAAAATCCAACAGGTTTATCGCTCCCAGGGGGTGCAGATTCATAATAGGCATATAGAAATTATTGTACGTCAAATAACATTAAAAGTGTTGGTTTCAGAAGATGGAATGTCTAATGTTTTTTCACCTGAAGAACTTATTGGATTGTTGCGAGCAGAATAAATGGGGCGCGCTTTGGAAGAAGCGATCTGTTACCAAGTCGTCTTTATGAGATTTGAGATTGTCATGATCCAAGTCCATGACACATATTATATGCTTTGGCTCAATTGATATAATGGATTTATCTTAGGGCTATGCTATTATCGAGCTCAAGCGTGCCTACCACGTGAATTTGTGATATCTATCACTTCCCTCTCACTTCCCTCTGATCTGCCTAACATGACTTGTGCATAACCTCTTATTCATAAGCTAATAGCCAACGAAAACCCTGCCAAACCTGCTTGACCGGCCCTCGTCGGTTCGCCCTCCGCGATGGCACACTAGAGAGTCCTTAAAGTAATGATCCATACACTTGCTAGCTGAGACTGGATCGTCAAAGACTAGATTTTTTTTTCTTAATACCTTCCTTATCTTTCCTAAGGGACTTGCCCTAAGCATGATAACCTGTATACAAAGAGTTTCAACAGTCGAATGGGTGTCACGTAGACCTCCAAGCATATGGAATGTAGAGCTATGGGTAAACAAAGACTTAATTTATCATGAATTAAATTCAAGTCTCTATCAAATTAGTAAATAGTTTGCGTACACTATGATTCATCATCTTAAGGTTCCATAAATATAGAGTCGCTTAGTTGTTTTATTGAAAAAGGGTAAATAATTAGTCATGTGCCACATTAATAAAAATGATAAAACTTTTAAATAAATATCAATAGGTTTATGTATATAAATAAAGAAAAATTAGTTGTCACGTTTTTCAAGATTTGTTTGTGAGAAATAAATAAGAACTAGAAGGGATTAAAATTTTAATTCATCATACCTATACCGTGTGATATTAGGTAAAAGGAGAGAAGAAATAACAGAAATGCATGGACCCTTTGTGTTGTTTGTCGTCTGAGTTGGAAAAATGTCTACCAAAACCTTTTGCTAAAGCCTTCCTAATCATTGACTAAGAGTAATAAATTAGACTAACATTACTAATTTCTCTTAATATGGCCCGCTCGACTTCTGAATTTCTTCATTTGTTGTATTCTTTAGTTTTCCCTTTAATTACTTTCTTGAAAGTAACTTTTGGTTAAATATGTGATTATTTGACCATCACATTAGCAAACTTACTTCGACTTTCCTCTACACTCGCCATGCTTCAATTCCTTTATCTTTAATTGGTGCTGAGCTGGGGAGCAGGGAGAGTGTGAATTTAACAGGTTTTTATGCATCACCTTGACTAGTGACGTATGCAACATTTTGCCTAAATAGTGATGTCAACTTAAATATATTACTATTAGGTTTGCATATAAACTTACATTTTTCGTATTTTGTCGATGTGAGATATTACCTAGCTAAAATATTAATACACCACCATAGATCAAACAAATACTTTTCTAAAGAGTATAATAAGTATTTACAATTAATCGGTTATGTCGATATTATCAATATCATATATAACAAGGCATTGTAATAAGGACATATGAAACTTAACATCATCCATACATATCACTCTTTTTAGAGGGTACATCTATAAGCTCCATACCCAAAAGTTATATAACCACTTTATTGAGGGAAACGAAATGTGTATACCACGCCCTAGCTAGTGTAGTGGTGGGAAAAAGTCAAGTATATACTATCCTACTAGTGAATTGGGAATCAATGAACACATTTAATTAAAACTGCATAGTCCATTCGTTTTGATCATTTCAATAGATATGCATAACAACTCATACTACAGTCTTATCATCACGAAAAGGTGGATTTACGTCTGCCTAACACTTTACTTAAAAATAAATTATTACTCTAACGTTAAAAGTTCTTCTCACATCTAGCAATTCTGCCATTGGCGAAAACATACTAGGAAGCAACCAGGGGCAGATATAGTGTTCGTATTTATGAGTTCATATGAATCCAGGTAGCTTTGATTCAAGCTCTGTCTCTTTTATATATATATATATATGTATATATATATATAGTAAACATAAAAGATTTTGAGCCAACCAAATCAATAGGCCGTCGTAATCCTGAACTTGTACCCATAAAGATCAAATTTTCGATCCGTCTATGGAGGTCGCACATGTAGATTAATCCTTCATAAAATAAGACGGTGGGCATCATTAAGTAGATGAAACCAGAACGAACTCGTATCGAACTGATCCATTGACTCAATGCTCAAACTATGATCAGACAGATGAGTTTCAGGATTGCTCTCCAAGATAACCGTGTTTTCCATGTCAATAATTGGCTGATCATCCACATTATTCATCTTTTGGTTTTCCTCGAATGTAATAATGCTGCTGTTGGATGAAGAAACATCAGGTGATATCAAACTGTTGTTGCTGGATGTTCCTATCGTTAGATTATTAATAGCCAGTAATAATATGGGTCTTTCTTGAGCTTTTTCGAATTCGGGATTTATCTTCTTCTCACTTTTCTTGGTTTTCTCCACCCTTTTGCGTCTTGCCTTAAACTTCAGTAGGGCATCATTTTTCATACCTAGATGCTTCTTTAAATGTGTGTAGAAGAAGTTTTTAACGTCCTTGTCAGTTCTTCCTGGCAATTTTGCAGCAATAGCTGACCATCTGTGTATTAACACAAGGAAATTCGCTAATTAGAAGGAGTACACCTAATTTATTTAATTTTAAACTTAGTACTAGTATACGTACCCGCGCGATGCGCGGATCAATTCAATTCAAAGAAAAAATAGAGCAGAGAGAAATAATAGAAACATATGTATATTTCAGATTAAATTTAGCGATCGAATTCAACAGAAATAAAACAAAAAATAAATAGATGAATTTTTGCGGCCAATATTAAGACCCAGTATGATTCAAGAGCAAATAACAGTACTATTCTAAGGATTTTCCCCAGTAGCTGTGAAGCTAACTTAGAAGTGTGGTCCTCTCCAAGACCTATAAACAATAACAAAAAAAAAAAAAGAAAATTAAACCTCAAGTTCTGAGTAAAACATATAAGGAAAGAAGTCACATAGAATAATATTTCATTATTCACCTTCTTTGTGTTCACTGATAAAAGGACGCAGCTTGACAGATTGATAAAGATTGTAACTTAACAGATCACAACCTTCTCGACTTCAATCCTTTTGTTGATTTTTTTTTTTTGAGAAGAATCCTTTTGTTGATATTTATATAGAAAATATATGTTGAATAATTTAAGATATTAATTTTCACTATAAAATTTGTAAAAACTGTAAGATCCCAAGCAAAAAATCAGTTTAACACAAAGGAAATCACAACCATATTTTTTAATTAACATTTAACGGTAAACAAAATAAAAAAGATCCAACTTATTCGAGATTCAGCAAAGGGTAAAACAAGAAAAAGAATAAAAGTGAAAAACAAAACAGTTTTAGAATGAAAACTATATTCTACAACGGATTAAGAAAGAAATTGTGGACTTGAGTACATATGAGCAAACAGTAAATCAACAAATAATATCTCACATTTGCCTGAACTCTTCGTTGACAGAGATAAATTAGAAGTAGGTTCAATTTATATATTAGCAGAAAATAAAATTCGATATAAATTATGCTAACACATATGTATCGAATATTGTTATATCACAACACTTGACTTTCTTAGTTAAAATAGAATTGCAATGTTGAACAACAACAACAATAACATTGAACAAAATAATATTTTTTCTTTCTTGCACAAATATCAGCTACCGATCTATTATGTTCAGATTCATCAAATAGTTTTCTCACAAGACGACCATTAATCAATATGTACACTTAAAAAAGTAAAATACCAATCCAGGTACAACGATAATGCAAAGTATGCTATGAAGAACTAATACGATAAAAGCAATAAGAATTCCATTATAACTTATGAAAATGTTCAAATTTGGTCTTCATATTTGAGTTATTTGAAATTAGGATATAAGCTATATTCAAATGTGCATTCAATTGAAGCATAAGCAAAACTCTAAGTCCACCTCTGGTTAGAATTCTTTCTTCCAACACAAATAATCTTTATAGTTAACGGTCCAGATATTGGTATTGATATCAAAGTTGAATACTCCTAATAGAGAATTAACTTGACGAAACAAATTTTACCTCCTCAATTCTTTAAAACATATTTTTGTAACCTGAATATGAAGTTGAAATCAAGGGCTTTAAGAGTAGTTGTTGGATCAATTTCTGATTCTGGCTTATATGTTATTCTGCCAAAAGTTGATCCTTTCAAGCCGAACCGTCTATAAATAGTGTAATTGGTGCAGAATAAATTTCAAATGATCACGAACCGAACCTAGACCATTGAACAAATTGGAAGTTTTTAGTGGTGAATAATTCTTAGCAACTAAATAGCTTAGCTTGTGTACTTCTCAATATATTAGTATGTGAATACCTTATTTTGAGTTGGTCCACTTAGCTTCAAGAAATGCAGGCCATAGTACTTAATCACAAGGATATTCTCACCGAACAAAAATGATTGTAATAATCTTTGAGCATTCTTATAAGTACCTAATGACCATTCAATTATAGGAAAAATCATAAGAAATCATGGATGTGAAGAAGAAATTTATATAAAGAGCATAACCAACTAACTCTAAATTCTAAAGTCGCTACTGATGGCAAGTACCACAACTTTGAGCCGTATTTCGTTACAATTAAGCACATATATTATGGAGAAAGTTATAGATCTCACCTTTATTTTTCGTTTTTCATTGTCTTGATCATGTATTTGCCATCATTTGACAAGTAGAAGAAGCTTCCACTTTTTCCAGGACGATTAGCCCTCTGAGAGGGCCACAAATAAACAACATATACTTTGTTACATCTACCTTAAATAACATTCTTAAATCCCTGGACAATATACTGGTCAAAAATGCTTAAATTTTTGTCTTTTTACACACAAAGTCTCCCAACTCTAGCAGCAAATTGGTGTGTGTATTGTAGTTCAAAAGGCATTGGGCATTATGTTAGATTGTGACCAATAAAATATTTTTTATTGTAATGATATAAAGAAGATGCATCATGTTGTATACATATAGAACAGATTGTGCAACTTGCTATGTTTATGACCTTATAGATTTGTATAGGTAGTCATAAAGTCATCTTTTGATAAATGCCGTAAAAAGGAAAGGGTTGCAGAGGCTGAAAGTCTCTTTGGTAGGTATCAAACCTAAAATTATAGCATCATCATAGAGCTTTTCACTATCTTTTATTTTATTTTGCCTACAGAAGGCATCAATTAATGTGGTGTATATATGCATATCGAGACTGATACCAGCTTTGACCATCTTATTAAAAAGGGCAAAAGCTTGTCTGTTATCTGCTATGGTGCAGCTCTGAGATATGAAAATGGTGTAAGTCAATAAATCTGGAGAGATACTACTTTACAGACCTTTCTTCAGCATCTTATAAGCCACTGCAATCCTTCCGTATGGCCATAAAATCTATTTTTGTGTACACAATTATCGAATATTAATTTTATACACTTACTTTATTTATATTTTTCACTTTTAATTAAATATCATTGTTAACTGATAATAAGAAAAGTGATAAATATTATATACTAAAGCAGTTCTGAGGAAATGTCTAATAACCACGTGGGACATAAAAGTTAAAACTGAATATGTAAAGAGCCGATCAAAACTTTATAATTTTTTCATGAAAACAATATAAGTTAACATAAAAATTGCCAACTGCCAATTGCCAATTGCCAATTGCCAATAACTAATTCAAATAAATCTTAAATTGATGTATAAAAGCTCAAACCTATTCAAATATTTGGCAGACCATGACGGTTACTTGGCAAAGAGTATACCTTAAATGTGAGAATGATACTGGTATTCACTCCATTCCAAAGAAGAGGCCTATTAGTCAGTATTCGATTACCATGAGGCAGTTTACTTTCCTTTGTAGCAGAAAAAAGATTTCTGATGTACCTACAAAAAATATGATTTTTCTCGTGAAGGCGCATTAAACTATCAAGAATGATCTAAAGAGAGAAGAGAAGAGAAGAGATTTGCCTAAATCATGTGAATATGCTCAGATTATAGACTTTTCAGAATAGTGATGAAACAATATTTTGCAAAAGAGAAGAACATCTCTGCAAAAGTATGTATCCAAATTCACCAAATGTAAGCACAATAATACACAATGTATTCTCCACGGTAAAATGGTGAGTGTAGTATATAACTTCACTTTTTTCTAAATTGTACTAAATTATCTGTCAGGCAAGCGCCATAAATAGATTGTGAGGATTTTGAGATCGAATATGGAAGAGAATTGTACTTAATTATCCGTTACAGAAACTGTAGAACTGTTCATGAATTAGAAATGATACACTCACCTCTTGTAGTCAAGAATTATTGATTGGTATACGCTGAAGGGAGGAAGAATAGAACATAGAACACGGAACATATATTTAAATTGGGAAGTTGGAAATTGATGTCAAAAAGCTGTGCAATCATCCTAATGATAACCGTTGCAGAAGGTTTGGTGGATTAGGAGTTGAGATCGTGGTGCGAGATTGTGGGATGCAAAACACCATAACTTTTCAATTTAAGCATCTTCCTACAATGCGGTAAAACCGTTGCAAATGGCGGTTTTCATAAAAGATGCACTCGGTTTAATTTTGAGGTTTCTAATTCGAATTCTTTGACAGAATCCCACCAAGAGAGGATTTTTTTCTTCTTGATTTGGGAAGATGAAATATTTGCCTTACGTATTCCATAGTAAGGGTTTAAAGAGAGGGAATTTAGGGATGTTGGGTGAGGCTAGAGTTTGTACAGTGAAGAAGAAAAAGGGATTTTTTTAATTGCGTTTGTCTCTTAATTATAGTTCCTTCTAGGCATTTAATACCACTGAAGGATTGGTTACTATTTTCAAATTCAAATATCAAATAAAGTACGTAACTAATTATTACCTAGATCAACTAATTTTGGCCTAAAAATGATACATGTCAATTTCTTCATACAACACTTGGCAAATTCTCATGGCAACTTCTTTCCTTTTAATAATAGATAGATTATTGTGTGACACTTTTTACTTCTCGAGTGTCAATTTGAGTAATTTTTGAAACTAAATTGGCTTAGATCATCTAAATATTTCAAATTTAAATTAAGATATTCATCAACTATACAAAAAGTACTATAAGTTGCAATTTTTGTCACGACGATATGATGAAAAAATATATTTAAAATATTGGTCAAAAATTCACGTAATTTAAAACATCAAAAACTAAAAGTATCATATAAATAGAAACAAGGATAATAATAACTTTGTACATATTGGTAGAGCTAAAGCTAGGAATTCTTACCGAGTTCCGAGTTGCTGATACATTTTGATGACCGTTTCTCTTTCTTCAATGCTGAAGGGGCCTTTCTTAACTTCAGGGTGGAGATAGTTCATCCATCTTATTCTACAACTTTTTCCCGTTCTTGAAAGCCCTGCAATTATGTATGTTCACGAGACTAATTAATTAAGTACAACATATTAATGAACTTACACAATGAACTAATTAGGGTTACAACTAGTTTAATATAATGCATGTGAAGAAATATTAAAGCATGCGTAGAAATCAAAGAATGAACTATCAAAATTAACATATTGGATCGATTATCGATCAGCGATATTGGAATTTATTTGAAATGAATCAAACCTGCAAATCTGGGCATGTTGCTCCAATTCCAAATGCCATATCTCATGATATAATCTTTCAATTTTTGATCTTCCTCCCAAGACCATGCTCCCTTCTTTATCTCCTCCATGTTTGTACTTTTTTGCTGCTGTTGTGGTACACTTGACATGATTGCTGAGAAGCTGTAGGACTGCTCCTGGATTTGAATTCACCTACTTCAGTACTTGTGTTGTACTTTCAACTTTCCATTGGGAAGTACCTGGAAATGATATAGACATTTCCCCCCGTAGTGTGTGGAGATATTTAGTCAATTTTGAGGCGTTCTTTCCAAGAAAAGGAGTACTCTCAGCAACTACTCCCTCCGTTTCATATTAGATGACATTGTTTGACTCGGCACGGAGTTTAAAAAAATAGAAGAAGACTTTTGAAACTTGTGGTCTTAAAAGTTTGTGGGGCCATGATATATGTGTGGCTATAAAAACTTCCCATTAAGGGTAAATGGGTAAAATAAAAGAGTTTAAATTTGAATTATTTCCAAATTTAAAAATGTGTCTTTTGTTTTGGAACAGACTAAAAAGGGAAGTAGCTCATCTAATATGAAACGGAGGGAATACTTAGGTTTGTGTTTTGTGTTTCTTGTGTTTTAATGGTATTTTTTCTGCTAATTTTAATACTAGTAATTCTTTGAAGGAGGAGTTGACTTGAGCTGTCAATAGGGAGAGAGAAACAGTAGGAACAAGAAAAGATATTCTGACTTCATTAGTTTCAGAAGAATGACCCTACTTAATAGATTTTTAAAAATACGAAGAAAGAATAACTTTTCGCTAGAGATTAAACGTATTCGATTATTCTAGATTTGCAACCAGTAAAATTCTGTAGTTACATAGTAGGGCATGGAAGTAGTCAAAATTAATGCAAACTTGTAGAACAAGAACTAGATTTTGCTAATTTGGTAATGGTGGTCAGAATGTTACTACTTTTTTTGCATGGATCAAACGATGTACACGTTTTACAGTAAACTATAGAAAATTAATCAAATAGGAATAGTTTCTAATAAAACAAGGGGTTTTGACACAGTTACACTATTTATCCTTGTCTACCCATTTGTTTTTCTTCCCATAAACTAATTACATTTCCTACCCATGGTAGATTTTGTGGGGAATTTTTTCTTTATTCTCCAATTTTTTTTAATTTTTTTTCTTTTTTTTTTCTTTTCTTCTTATTTTTTTATTTTTTCCTATTCTAATTTCATTTAACTTTTTTTTCTTTATCTCTTCGTAATCTAATTTCATTTATTATTTTTACTATTTTTTTATTATTCTTTTTTTTTTATATTATTACTAAAGAAAAATCAAATTGTGTACCAATTAAATGTAGCTAATACAATCAAAAAATNAATAAAACAAGGGGTTTTGACACAGTTACACTATTTATCCTTGTCTACCCATTTGTTTTTCTTCCCATAAACTAATTACATTTCCTACCCATGGTAGATTTTGTGGGGAATTTTTTCTTTATTCTCCTAATTTTTTTTATTTCTATGCTTCTTTTCTTTTCTTTTTTTTTTTTCTTTTCTCCTTTTCTTTTATCTCGTTTTCTTCTTATTTTTTTCTTTTTTCCTATTCTAATTTCATTTAACTCTTTTTGTTTCTCTTCATAATCTAATTTCATTTACTATTTTCACTATTTTTTATTATTCTTTTTTTTTATATTATTACTAAAGAAAAATCAAATTGTGTATATAGTTATACCAACAGGGTATACAATTGTACGCAAAGAGTTAAAAAAGTTTAATTCAATTATTAAACTGAAATAAATATCAGTTGTCAATAAAGTCAAAAAATTCTAAAAGGATCTAATTGTAAAAGTATACCGTTACATTATATAGCATACTATAATATTTTATTTTTATTTTTTTGGCATTTTCAATTTGCCTCTCACGCTGGGTAAAAGTTTAAAGCAAATTAAAAGGGAAAAGGCAAGTGAATTTACGGGTAATAAGTATACTATTATAGTAGATTGTATACTACTACAGCACATTGTTACAGTATATTGTATACTATACTGTTGCAGTATAACTATATACTCCTTTAGTATATTGTATACTGTAGCGGTATACTGTTAGGTAACTGTGTTTGCAGTATAGCTATATACTCCTACAGCATATTGTATACCGTAGCGGTACACTGTAGCTGTGTTCTTCTTCGATTTTCAACTGAAAATTTCAATCTCAATCAGCTCCAAATGCTATCAAATTTCAGTATGAACTTCCAAAAGGTACTATAAGCAATATTTAACAGCACCCACTTTGAATCAAACAAGAAATCTTCAAAAATAAAATTGAGCTTCAAGCCCAACAATGGTGGATATTCAAATACACACAAAAATTTAGATCTGGGAAGCTTACTCGAAGATACTATAAGCAATATTTTATAGCACCACATCGAATCAAACAATAAATCTTCAAAAAAAATTATTTTCTTCCTTAAAGCTTTACTATAACATAAATTGAAAGTAAATACTATTGAAAAAAGAGATAGAGACAGAGGGGGGTTGAGAGTGAGCAAGAAGTTGAACTAATGTTTTCGGAATGGGGTTTTGACACAGTTGGGGAGTTGAGCAAAGAATTGGAGGAAGGTAAAATGAGGAAGAAGAAGAAGAGGAACATAATAAAGGCGGGTAAATAGTTTGGGGTACATGGGTAGGAGTAGTAAATAGTTCGGACCTGGGTATTAAAGAGCAAATAGTTTGGAATTAATGGGTATAAAGTGAGATTTTCTCATAAAACAAATCCACTTGCCTATGGATTGGCAGAGGCTTACTTCATACCTCTCAAGGATTAAATAAACTAATTTTCTTGAGAATTTTTTTAATTGAATATAGCTAGATAACCTCTTTTGATCTATTCCATTTAGTTGTCCTCTAGGATAGAGCAAAAATAGTACTCTAAATGAAGAATGATAATAGTTTTTTTAAGATAGGAATTATATTAATTAAGAACAATAAAATATTCCACAGAAGGGGAAAGAAAGAAACAAATAGCAAAACGAAAATACGTATTATTCCCATCGAACAAGAAAGAAGGTGAGATGAGAACGTTTTCTCTCTCTAGGCTCTCGGCGCACGTTATTCTAACGTACGTCGTTTGAGAAGCAGCCATGGCGAGAAAGCGAGGACGACCTAAACGAGATCCACTCGTGACGGTCGAAGAAGCGATAAGTGCAATGGTAATTGCAGATACACTAGCTAAAGGAACTATTCAACAAGTGACCACCCCAATTGGTAGCCAATTTCAACCTAGTTCTCATAAATTAGGTTCTCCAAGCAAATTTACGGGACCGGTGAAATGGCTAAATCTCAGTGCAATACAGATGAATATGACTTCGTCGTCATGTGAAGGCACGCTGGTAAGAGCTGAAATGGGAATTATGAAGCACAAAGGAGAATAGCAGAAACTGAGCTAAAAACGAATGGAACAGTAACAACAGAGGTGACTGTTGACCCAAAGACACATGCAGAGGCACCGGTGCTGGGGAACACATGGATCAACTTGTTTGCCGGTAATAGATCTTCAGAAAATAGTATGGTACTATCTTATATTCCACCAGAAATAGTAGATGGAAATATTGTGGTGAAGCTAGATGAGGACGAAATCGATTCTCAAACTAAAAAGTGGTAGTGTGCTCTGATTATCTATGTAATTGGGAATACACTAGGATATAAATTTATGGAGAGGTATATAACTCAAAATTCGAGTCGAGTAGTAGCTCCAGAACTTTTCTTACATGAAGAAGGTTATAACATAGCTAAGTTTCATACGCTTGGTGACTTGAAGGATATCCTCTACGGAGGTCCATACACAATCAATGGTAGACCAATGATTCTAAAACAGTGGACTCCTGATTTTGATCTTAAAGCAGAATTTCGAACTGAGATACTGTTATGGATTACTCTACCTAAGCTACCAATGAGCTACTAGGGAATAAGACTTTGAGTTAATTGGCAAGTGTCATTGGAAAACAATTATTTGCAGATGAATGTAAAATAAAGCAGACGCGTATTTCTTATGCTAGAATTCTGGTGGAAGCATGTCACTAAAAAGCTTCCAACAGAATTAACACTGCAAGAGCCTTTAGGGAGAATGTTCCAACAACAAGTGGAGTATGAATGAAAGCCACACTACTATACAGAATGCATGAAGATTGGGCATGACTGTGAATTTATTAAAAGAACAAATAAAGAAGAGCGGCCTAAAGAAAGGAGAAAGTAATAGTAAAGTTACCACAAGATGGCAAATTAAAGGGTAGGGACAACAATATCCAGCATAGCAAAAGGATGGAACAATCAAACCACTGGTGCAAGAAACTAATACAAAGCCAACAACTGTTGAAATTAATGGGACTCCTGTAGTAACAAAGGATAAAGGGAAAGCAACTGATAGTCAAAGAACTGAACAAATGGAAGAATGGACTGTGCTAACAAGAAATAGAAGATCTCTGATTGGGACATCATCAATACCAACGAAGAATGGATTCCAAATCTTACAAAGAGAGGATGAGAGAATTGAGAACCCTATGCCACCTGATAGGGTGGGTGGATCAGTCATACAATAATGACTTGGTTAAGTTTGAATACTAGGAGATTTAATAAGAGGCATAAACAAAAAGAAATAAAGCAGTACATAAAGGATAAGCATATCTAGCTGGCTAGTCTAGTAGAAACAAAGGTGAAAGAAGCTAAAGCAGGAAAGGTGATTAGTAAAACTACACCAGGATGGAGCAGACTTACTAATTATGAACATGTTGTTAATGGAAGGGTGTGGATTGTATGGATGACCAAATGTATGCAGTGCAACCACTTGATAAGAAAGATCAGTTCATTCACTGCCAAGTGACAGGGAAACAAAATGGACTACAGTGCTATCTCACTGTGGTATATGGACAAAATACAGTTGATCAAGGAAGAATCTATGGCAACATATCAAAAGAATAGCAAAGGCAACTAATGGACCTTGAATAATAGGGGAGATTTCAATGCACTACTCACTCCCCAAGATAGAATGTCTAAGGTGTCTGTGACTACTGCAGACATAAGGGAACTTACTGAACCGTGCCATGATATTTGCATTGCAGAGCTTCCATGGAGAGGGGATTACTTTACTTGGACTAACAAAACAACAGGGTGA